TGCTTTGTTGGATGGGTCTCATTCTTTATCTCTGTGGTTACGTTCACAAAAACCCTGGACCAGCCTCTCTAAACTCTTCTACTTCTTCAGGTAATACATCATATACGTCAAATTCCTCATTCCTTTCCATTTCCGACTTTTCTCACTCATTATCATGTTTGCACTATAATGTGCAAAGTTTTCTTAAGAAAAAGGATATCGTGGAAGGTGAACTTGATCCGTTTGATATTATCTCAATAACAGAAACCTGGCTGTCCGCCGCTGTTGATTCAGATTGCTTATATTTTCATAATTATTCTTCCCCTTTTCGAAACGACAGAGGTACGGACAATCATGGAGGTATTTTGGTTTATGTTAAAAACACTATCCCTGCAATTTGAAGATACGACCTAGAAATTCAAGGTGTGGAATGTATTTGTAATGTAATTTTTCCCTTTCTGTGCTCTCTCAAATAGAAATGTCAATCGGTCTCGCTTTTGACACAACTATATCTGATATAGTTATAACCGCTCATTACAGATACCTTATCATGTTATATTAAGATTAAGTCCTATTGCAGATTTTTTCCGAATGTTTTGTAAACCATTTTTTGCATAATTATACTTATCTTATGCACTGTCCATAATTAAAAAGAGGGGTTTAAAAAGTGCTTTCACGTAAGGAAAGTAATTCCATTGAATACAAACAAGACCTTACAAAACATGTAAATGTTATGTGACATGACAGCACTGTGTTCTTTTTGAATCACTACTGTAATTAGTAACATAAGATGATAAAAATATCAAAGTCTGTTTTTTATTATTAGTCCCCTACCGGTTTACCGGAGGGGACTTTAGGTTTACCCTCCGTCCGTCTGTCCGTCTGTCCGTCAGTCCGTCCGTCAGTCCGTCCGTCCACAAAACTGGATCCCGCGATAACGCAAAAAGTACTGAAAATATTTTAATGAAACTTGATATATGGATAGATGGCAGTATGGAGATTATGCACGTCATTTTCTTTTCTTCCTATGTTGAAAATTCTGGTTGCTATGGCAACAAATAGACTGAAAATATGGCAAATTTTACACATAACCTGGATCCAGTGATAACGCAAAAATTACTGAAAATATTTTTATGAAACTTGACATATTGGTAGATGGCAGTATGGAAATTATGCAGGGACTTTAGGTTTACCCTCCCTCCGTCTGTCCGTCAGTCCGTCCGTCTGTCCGAGCCAACATTTGATTATTATGAGCTTCATTCCGTAGTTAAATAAAGAACATAAACTCATAAAATTTAAAATTAAGAGTTTTTTTTGTTTTTATGAGCTTATTTTGCTTATGGACGTTGGTCCAGGTGGTGTTTATGAGCTCATTTGCCTCACAAACATCAAATTTTGGTACGTCCGTCCGTCAGTCCGTCCGTCCACAAAACTGGATCCCGCGATAACGCAAAACGTACTGAAAATATTTTAATGAAACTTGATATATGGATAGATGGCAGTATGGAGATTATGCACATCTTTTTCTTTTCTTCCTATGATGAAAATTCTGGTTGCTATGGCAACAAATAGACTGAAAATATGGCAAATTTTACACATAACCTGGATCCCGCGATACCGCAAAAAGTACTGAAAATATTTCTATGAAACTTGATATATGGATAGATGGCAGTATGGAGATTATGCACGTCTTTTTCTTTTTTTCTTATGCTGAAAATTCTTGTTGCTATGGCAACAAATAGACTGAAAATATGGCAAATTTTACACATAACCTGGATCCAGTGATAACGCAAAAATTACTGAAAATATTTTTATGAAACTTGACATATTGGTAGATGGCAGTATGGAAATTATGCACATTCTTTTCTTATCTTCCTGTATTGAAAATTCTGGTTGCTATGGCAACAAATAGACTGAATTTCAAGATTTCTGATTCTAGTTTTTCAGTTTTTTCACTGTAAGTTCTTTATTTCTTAAGGTATTTTCTTCAAACTTTAAATATAAGTTGCAAGTCATCAACCACATCATATGTGACAAAGTTTACAACTCTAGCACAAAATATATCAGAAATTATCTCCCTGGAACTTAAAATTTTCATGAAAAAAACATTGTTTTTTTTTAATAACTTCTTTTTTTCTGAACGTATCTACTTCAAACTTCATATAAAGGTTTATTATTATCACTCAACATTTGTGAGTGTTCAATACTCTAGCAAGACTATTTCCAGAATGATGCCCCTTTTGAACTTGACTTTTTTTTGAGAAATTGGTTATTTTCTTCAATTATGATAGGATTTTCTTCAAACTCCCACATCATAATAATATGACAATAATATGACAAGGTTTATAAATCTAGCATCCATATTTCCAGAATTATCTCCTTAAACTTTTTATTTTTCTTATTCGCTCTTTTAACTTTCATTTACTTCAAATTCAAAATAAACATTCAATATTCATACCTTCATTACTAATTGTTCTTTGTAACACTCACATCATGTATGACATCATTATCTCTTTTTTTTTTAAATTTTGCTTTAAAAATGTTATATTTTGATAACAAGGAGTGTCCTTCAGCCTGTCTGTCTGTCTGTACATAAAAACTGTTCACTGTGATCACTTAAAATAGAAACATAAGTGAATGGCCAATGGCCCTTCAAAATGTTGCTTGGGCTCTTACCGGTAGGGGACTTATGGATTGCTTGCAATACTATGATAATTGCTTGTTATAATTGTAACAAATATACAAATAGTAACAAAGGGACTAATATGATAATATAGTAATATTACATGCATTTTTTTTTCATGTAAAATTAAAAAAAAAATGGTTTCTTTCAATACTGGAAGTAGAACACACTCTGGAATGAAAAAAATGGGATGAATTTCAAAAAGACCAGATTCAGGAATTTTTGTTTGTTATACACGCTTTACATGGTGATACAGTATTTATCAATATAATAGAAGACTGTTACCTGAATATATGGCAGGTATGAGAAAATTCACTAACACCATGTTCGTGCGAGTCAAAGATATATAAGCTACTTGACATTGGTGATATATAAAAAAATTGTTAATTGGGATATCAATATGCTTTTTTTGTTGAATTGCTTTAAAACCATTCACAAAACAATAATTACACCTCATGTTCAAACTGCAGATCGAAGTTTCTGTTGTTACCAATGGTGCTATCTATCTATCAAGAGTCTATGCTTAATGAGGGTCCATCCTCTCGTAAGGGCACAAAATGCAGCTTTCGCTGCCGGACATGTCACCAGTCATGCCCTTTTAAAGTTAATTTTGAAGCACAAAGTGGTGATAAATACCAATGATGCCAATGAAATATAACTTTATACACTAAAATTATAATTATTTCAAAACAACCAATATATCAACATGTTATTATTAAACATTTAGTTTCATCAGGGTCTTTCAAGATTGGTTTCATAAATATAAATTAAGATTATTTATCGAAAGCAAAATTATTAAAGTCTTATGCCTGAAATCTTCTTTATATTGACAAATTCAATCACTAATAGTATACTTGATATGCTGTGTGTAAAAATAATTAAAAATGTAACATATTATAATTTCATGCACTACTAAAAAAGGGAAATAACAAATTTATAAACCTAAGTGTCAAAAATCAGAACATTTATTTTATATACAGCTTTTCATACCTTTCGAATTCATGTACAGCAGAACTGCTTTCCGGTTCTCATTCATTAAAATGACATGCTGCGAATCACCGAAAGGGGGAACCAATATAACAGAAATCGGAAGGAGTTCTTAAAACCAAATTTATTTTTAGCTGTTAATGGAAGGGATTAATTTGATAAAATCCGGGCCCATGGACAAAAAAAATTATAAACACAAATTGCTCCGCGCCAATAAAATCACTGTTTGACATTCTATATTTAGACATATGACGTAATCATTATACACGTGACGTAAACACTAAAATGTGAAGTGCTGAAAATAAGTTCGGAAACAAATCAGGCGCAATAAGGGACTTTAGTGGATTATCTTGCCTTGATAAAAACCAAGGTTAACAAAAATGTAAGTAGGTCCAAATATGTGGAATCCTTTGATTTTATCGTTGAGTTTTATGTAAGACAGGTCAATATGTCTTGATCAATTATTTCCACATGCATCAATAAATATGTAAACCTTAAGAAAAAAATGTTTCATTTATGTCAACAGATTCTACATCTTATCGCAAAATTTTATCTGAATATTACAAATGATCATAATTAGCCCTAATAAATTTAGTTTGGTACAAAGAAATAGGCGATAAAGTCCGAGTAATCCAATAGCTTAGGACCTATCTATTTATAGGGAGTACTCAGGGGAGGTTTTTCACTAATGTTCCTCATTTAGCTGAAAATCAGGTCCGGCAGCATATATCCGATGATGTCGTGTAAGAATCGAAATAATATTTCCAAATCGGTGATTTTATCGCTTGATAAAATCACTGTTTGTCGTTCGGATGCCCATCATTATATCACCCGGACTATGCCCTCGTGATACAATTCCTCGCATCCGAACTTTATTTCTAAATTATATATATACTTTTTTAAAGTTCATTACAGTATATATCTGGCCAATTTTCAGGCCTCTATTAGTGCTCGTAAGGACGGCCATACCTTAAACAGAAACGTACTGATAAACAGTAGATCTACATACCAAAACATTCTTTTGCATTTTGTGATTGCAAAAAGGTACAATTTGTTACCAATGTAATAGAAATATAAAGTTCCTCATTTTATATGCTGTTTTCTTTTTCTTGCTCACTTTCTTGTTATGAAGGAATTAACTCATTGATTGTCAAATGAATTAAATACAGTAAATAAGAGGAGTTACCTGTACTAGAATATGTTTAATTCTACTATATGTATACTTGCTTTGCTTAATCTTGTTCGGGAACTCAAATATTGACCCTTTTTATCTTTCTATCTCATACTTATGACATATATACGGAATAATATTTAAACATGGACTTCTTTTGGAGAACGAAATAAGCAGGAATTCAGATGTGACTATGTTTTATTGAGAATTAAAGAAAATGGTTGTTGAATATTACAATATAAGAAAACACAAATGTACAAACATGTATAAATATTGTCAAATGTTCTATTCATTTGTAAGTACATAAAATACCTAAAAAATCAAAAGTTAAACACATTTTGTCGTCGCCGGCTGTCTTCAATTTTGATGAATGCGATATTTTATAATACTTGTGTTCGTTTCTTTTATTATTAGTTCGTTGATTTTTATTGTTGTGACGTTACATACAATGTTGCGTTACATAAGCGTAACGTCAAAATCACTTGTTTCTTACGTTTCGATTAATTTTAAGAGGATAGAGCCTCTTGGAGGATACTATTTTTTTGCTCAACGAGTTCAATAAAACGCGGTATGTGATAAAAGATTATATGGCCTGACTCTAAAGTACATTAATATAATATTTCCTATACAGAGCATATCTGCAAAGGATAAATGTATAAATTTGCACAAAAAAATATATGTATACATGTAGTGACATCCGGACATTCTATGTACAAAGAAAAATGCGCCATAAAGTTAGGGATAAAGAAAATGCATCAGGAGATTTATAAAATAAACACACAGGATTCTGCTTGTGAAAACGGCAAGTTGCAATTTTTGTCTTATTTGGAACAACAAAATCAATAATATTGTCAACAGGTACATGTATATACATCTCGTACTTTCAAAAATCATAACTATAAATATAAATAATATACATTTTGCTCTTATATCTATTTCTTAAGTGGACTTGTACACATTATAATGAAATAAACTACTAAACAAGTTCCTAACTATAAGCAATCTATTATCATTCAATTAGGCATAGAAGAAAATCACAATTAAAATATTTTTTCTGAATTAATTTTATAAAAGGTTTTATTAAAAAGAAATGTGATGGCAGTGAGTGATCTGTGTAGCGAAACAATGGAGGACCACTGCACTTACTATCATTTTTTAAATGCAGTTTAGATCGAAATACCGTATCATGATATTGTGCTCGATGTCCTTACCCGAAAATTAGAATTACTTACAATCGTATAATATCAAGTCATATTTTGTTTCGTTATAATTATTTTTCAAAAAAAAAGATAACTATTAAAAATTCATTAAATCGGTTGACAGATAAGAGTATTGTAAAAACGTATCGGACTTATCAATTAATTATTCTTTTAGGAAGAGAGAACTCATTAAAATCGTTAGATTAAAAAAGAAATGATGAAATAAAGATTCATGAACTGGTAGTAAGTAAATATTGTCTTTTGTGATAATGTAACATGTCCAGGCATATATTGACTGGTTCTTTAGATTGATTTAGGAAACTAAGCTAAACTGATACGAATTAACATTACTTCATTAAACAACGAATTAATATTACTTCATTAAACAAGCAGATCATGTCAGGAGCACTTGGCCGCATAAGTAAGTATTTCAACATATATACAGAAGAAAAATGTTGAAAAATATTAGTAATTTTGCTAAATAAAACAAATAAAAAATCTGACAGGTTGGAAAAAGAATGGTTTTACCCTTAAATCATTTTAATGCACATACCATTTCTATAATAAACGGAGTCAAAAGGACAGTACTAAGTTGGCAATCGACCGTATTGTTTTATTGTGATAGTTTCTCAAAAATAATTGAAAATCGATTGAAAAATGCCTGATTTTCCTTTTTTCTTGTTTCGCTTTTTATACTCTGATGTGAAGACAACTTGAGCCGAATATATTTTCTTTGTGTCAGTAAAGCTAGTTGTAAATCGTTCGACTTCGTCCCCTATTGTTGCCCTTTTTCGACATTGCATGAGTGAAGTAATTCTCCCTTGAAACCCTGCTCGCTTTTCAAGCTTTTCACTTTCTATGAGCAAATCAATATGCTCGACTACACTGAGCGGATCAGGTCGAAGTGCTATTTGTCTTAAAACGTTGTTACAGTCATTAATTTTCTCCATCAACCATAATATTTCCCCTTCAAGAGAATGCAATTCTTCGTGCATACGTTCAACTACTTTCTGACGAGTCATGTTTTCGTCTTTTGCGCGACGGTATTTTTCAAGCTTTTCTGTGTAGGTCTTTTCCTTTTGGACTTGAATATATTCAAAGATGTAAGGAGTATTTCTGTGAATATCCCAATAACAGTTCATTGGACATTGTGTGCAATTTCCATCACGATCCATAGCTTTACAACTACGTTTATCCTCGTCATTTGGTATTTGGCAGTTTTTGTGACACGTCATATGACATGTAAGGCAGTTTGTCACGTGTTGTCCTATTGGTAAATCAATCTGCCTTTGTTCTGTTTCTGTGACAGTATAGACAAAGTCACTGTTTGCATCAATTTGTGTTTTGAAATCCTCGAGAATTCTTATTTCTATGCGTATTTCCTCTACTTTATTAAGACCAGCGTCTAATTTTGGCTGGAGGTTTTCCATGTTCAATTCTATCAGCTCTCGTTGCTCAGAACATCCCTAGTGAGTTGTAAACTTTTTGTTTTCATCGATATAAGTTTATCAAAGAACAGCCTAAAGCTTTCACACCCCATGTCCCAAAACATAGAAGAGAAATTGGAAGCTTTTTCACCAGAATTCTCTGCAAAAAGTCCAGAGTTGTTGAATGGAAAATATTGCTCATGGGGTAAATTTCCCTCCCTCAAAGCCGAAAGTACCGGTGGTTTCTTTCCATCTGCAAATGTCACTAACATACAAAAGTTGTCCTTGATATCATTTCCAAAGAGTGACATGATTGCGTTGAAAATATACATTTGTGTTGGTGTCAGACGAGCATCCGGTGCCTTAACCAGGAAACAAACTGCATCAATGAATACTATCCCAGTTTCATCTTTATTTGAAAATACTGTTCGTATCTGATTAATTATTTCTCTATCTCTCTCAATGCCACGAGTATCTCCGAATCCTGGTGTGTCGATAATGTTCAAGGTGTAATCCAACCGACTACCTTGTAAAGGGTTGATGGTATAACAAGTTACCCACTGTGTTTGCGAAACAGCCTGTGAAAACGAAAAATTTAATTAAAAGATTTTGTCTATCGGAACAAAATCTATAATAATAATTTAAATAATAGGTTACCAAAAAAAAAAAAAAAAAAAAAAAAAAAAAAACTACACAGAAATTAAAAAAAAAATGTTACCTGGTTCGTATCTCTGTTCATTTCCTCGTCTTCCAAATCAACAAGTGTAAGTCTGTATGGATCACTCCAATTTACTCCAAGAACATAGTTTATCATACCGTCTACCAGTGTACTTTTACCAGTTCCTGTTGCACCAACTAACATAACTGTTCTTTCTTGTGCGTTTGTTTTCTTATTCTCACCTGTAATATGTCAAAGTATGAAAATGTAAAGCTAAATGACAAGCTAAAAATTCCTGTAAAATAAAACACACACGCGCGCGAGCGCGCACATGCACGCACACAACGCATGGAAAACAAACATTATTGTCAGTGATAACCTTTAGGACGGCAATGTCAATGGACTGTAGCAATTGTTCGAAATATTTCTCCGAAAAAGTCGAGCTAAACTCTAAAGCAATAATTTCTATTAATCATAACAACACACCGATAATCAGCTTTCTTGTCTTCCCAGTAAGGTTTCGAGCCTTTTTGTTTTCTTGCAAAGGTAGCCTTCTCAAAGGCATTTCTGCATCACTTCGGTTCACTTCATACATAAACTCTAGAGATCGAGCGGCAGCTGACTGAATGGTTTCTATGCTCTCGCTTGCATCACTGTACGGTCCTTCTTCTTCATCACTAACCATCCGTACTTGGAAAACATATTTTGTATTTGACTTCAGATTGCATACTGTTATGGATGGTTGGGAAGAAATGTGAGTTGAAAGAATCCATTTTGAATTCGAGTCTACCTCTTTGTAGCGAAGTTGATAATTCATATCTTTAATCATCTGTTTTGGAGGTTCCCAGGCGAGACAAACGCAATCAAGTTTTACCTTATCAACTAAGCAAGGTATACCTGGTTTCTGCAAAAAATAATTTTTATTCAATTACATAGTTTGTATATTTTAAAGGCCCATTATGCCTCAAAAATACTTTTATTTTTTCAAAAGCTTTTTTATTATGGCATACTTTTATAGTATCAAAAAGGTACTCATTGGACAATTACTTAAACTGTCTTTTTCATGTGTTGCTCTTTGGCAATAAGTACAGTTATAGTGAATGAGTGTTTTGTACGGAAGTGAAAATACTACAATTTCCTACTGCATGACAATACATTTCACATTTACCGCAACTATCATATGAAAACAACCCTCCAACACTCTCTAACACCGTTGTTTAGACATTATAAAATTCATGTTTGCCTTTTCTTAAGAAGTACACATTTATTTGTTTCTGAGGCATAATGTGCTTTAAAAATCTTACCACGGTGATCAGTGATCAAAAGTACAAAACGTTTCTTACTAATACAAGTATCTCATTTTAGATTTGAGTAGCGTTATTGCGAATCCTGTAACTTAATATCTAGTTTGTACAATCACAATAATGATTGCAATTTAACTTGAAGAAATATTATAGGGAACAAATCTTCTAAATACATGTATATTTGTAAAAGGAGCTCCACTGAGGTCTAAATTCATGAAAACATAAGATTTGAAAAGCTTACTTATTTAAAACGGAACTTGTTTTGAAAAGATGATGAACGATGATCTGAAATTTTGTAGACCTACATCAGTTAGTATAAAAGCACAAAACAATATTTCAACTCCATGATAAAAGCCCCTGTGGAGTCCCCTTGAAGTCATACGTACCAGGTTATTTTGCATACTTTTAGATTGTCTTTGTGTATTTTCTTGAATTACTTCATTTGAATTATGCCTTTAATAAATGGGAAGTAGATAAACGTATACTTGTTTATATGGAGAAAGAAAAATAAGACAAACTAATAAACAAAAAATTAATGGAAATTCATGTTATTTTATTTTTCTATTATTGGTTAAAGTTAATATGTAACACTATGTACAACCAATACGCAAAAATGTGAACATAATTTAAGTATTGTGCAAAAGTAACACCGAACGTAGGCAATGTCTGACTGAAACGAATAGACAAGTAAAACAAATTGAAAGACATAAATTAGCGCATTTCTTTGATTTATTTGTGAGAATGACAACACGGCTACCATAAAGAAGACGACTTAAATAGTGTTCCTTCACCCCTTTGTCATTTTAGTGAGATTGAGACAACTTTTCATTATTTCTATGAATGTCGAACATTTGATGACATTAGACAAAACCTGTTTTATACTATTTCAAATATACGAGTAATTTCCCTTACGTTAGAACTATCTCATTCAAAACGGAAACCAAATCAAATGAAGCAAATTAGACAATTTTCTTAACTTAGCAGGAAGTTTGAAATATAATTTATGGAGTACTGTCGTCTTTTAATTCATCAAATTCACAATATTTCCAAAACCGGCCTAACTAATTTATTTATTTATTTATTCTTTATACATTTCCTTACAATATCAATTTTTAACATTTTTATTTAGATATAAACTTATTGCAAAGAACCGTTTTAATACAAACAGTGTTATTTAAATTCAAGTTTTTAAGATTGTTCTCTTTAAATTTTCAATTAGTTAGCCATACACATTTTTTCCTGTAAATCAATGTAAATATTTAATCAATTTGGATAAGAACTTTAAGAGATTTGATGTCTTTCGTTCTTATCAATTTCCACAGTTTATATAGCTGTATGTCATGTATAAATAATGTCTGTTAAAACTATTATAATATAATAACGCAAGTTACGCTATTGTTTTTATGTTCGGTGTACCAAGACATTTGCAAAACTACTCGTGTTATATAATTTCAAAATAAGCAGAAACAATTAATAAGGCATTTTGTGTGGCAACGCTGATTCCGTAAATGATGCATCGAGACAGCAATATATGTCTTGACCACATTTTATTAGGTTCCTTTGAAAGTTATATGAAAAATAAAAATGAAAAGTGTTATATTCGATATAATACTAATTAATAACGACGAAGCACAAAAGTCACTTTCACTACGGTAGCCATGTTGTCATTCCATCCAATTATCTTCAAATGTATTGACTCTTAGATTCTCTATGAAATACACGTATTTTAATACGAGTTAATATGACGTGCCCTAATTCATTTCTTTCAATTTGACTGTCTTTGAAATATGTTCCGTTTATGTCTGTCAATATATTATCTGCGTAATAATTAAAAGAATTCCTGCGTTATTTTCACAAAGATATAGAGGGCGTATACTATCAATCTTTGTTTATTACATCTATGAAAGAATAAAAAATAGTTCGAGCTAGTAGAAAATTTTTAACCTTTTTCAGATATATGAAACAAATCATATTATTGCTGAAACGATGACAGTGAAAATATTTAATATTAGACGATGAAACTAAAGATATTCTAGATAATTTTTAAACCAGATCTTACCTGCTTTGTTCACCGCCAATTAATTTAGCTATGTTGATTACTTTATGGTTACGGGATGCTTCATCTTTCCTGTGTGTATCAGCACAATTATTGCATAATTTTGTTGAACAGGCTCTACAATACATGTCAGGTGTGATGTTCTTGCCTTCATTATTACAAGGCTGACAGTAGTTTTGGTCAGTCATCTCTGAGCAGACGACTTTGTGCTCTCTAGTAGCCTTTTGTTTTATATGGACTGAAAAACAATCGTAGCACAGTACTTCATCACAATCAATGCAAATGTGGCAAGCTGTTTTTTCAGTAGTTCCGTTATCATTACATGGCTCGCATGTTCCTCTCTCGGCTAGTCTATCGTGACTAAAAATCGAATGATTTTTTGTCGCTTTTTGTCGTTTATGAGCATTTGAACATGAGTCACAGTAAAGTTCCTCGCAAACATTACAACTAGCCACTGCTTGAATCTCATTACCCAAATGTTTGCATATTTCACAAACAAAGGATGATTTCTTTGATTTCGGAGGACCGATTTCATGACTTTTTGTTGCCTTTTGTAAACGGTGAACATTAGTGCAATCATTGCAATAAGATTCATCGCATGCAGAACAATAGGCTGTAGATATTATGTAATTGTCACTTTCCTTACAAACGTCACAAAATTGAAAAGAATCTCTATCTGTTAATGAGTTTCGATCTTGTGCCGTTTCAAAATCAGTAGAAGATAATTTATCTTTGGTTGTCAAGTCAGTTGATAAAGCCATATCTATTGGTAAAGGGCATGCTTCGGGCTTTGGATAATTTTCACTTTCTATAATGTGGATGTTTCCAACACGTTCTGCTTCGTGATCCCCTATTGACTTTGTATTTTTATCATCGGTTTCTTCGGCATCTTCAATTTGAGAACATTCATGAAAAATTTCGTTTCCCTCACTCGTATCAGATTGAGCATCTAATGTACCTAGAGAGGATTCCCTTTCATGTTCATCTCCTGAATCCTTGTTTGCAACTTCGTCGCTGTTGTTGTCCATTTTAAGAATATCTATAGAAAAAAAACGTTAGCATAAATTGTCAAATGGTATTAAGATATCCAAATAATATCATTAAATGTAAATCTTTAAGTTAGTTTAACCACGGACCAAGTTACGAATGCCCCCGAAAAGATTTCTTAAGCATGCAGGTATTATGAAAAGAAAAGGGAATGAAAGTAACTAATTGCTGAATATTGTTCTTTGTATTATTGTACCTGTAATCTCTAATTGTAATAACATGAACCTTCAAAATATAAGTGTGACCTTGACCTTTGAAGAAAGGACGTGGTTCCTAGACGCGACAAAATGTTGTTATGAGAAAGACATTTGTGCCAAATTATTTCAAAATCCTTCAATGAATGGCAAAGTTACAGTCTGGACATTATTGTTGTGTAAGTTGGGACACATGGACAGACCGACGGACATGAGTCTTAGCCGCGACCCATTGTCATGATGTGGTAGACATTTGTGCCAAGTTATTTTAAAATCTTTCCGTGCATGACAAAGTTACAGTCCGGACATGTATGTGTATCTTAAAACTCTTCTAGAGAGAATGAGTACCTTCTAACTATAGGTGTGATCTTGACCTTGAAGGTAGGGACATGGGTCTTTGTTTTGACATGTCGTCTTGATTTGGTAGACATTTATGCCTAGTTATTTTAAAATCCTTCGATGCATGACAAAGTTATAACCAGGACACGAATGTGTTTACCTATAAACTCTAATTGTGATAATGTGAACTTCAAAATGGTAGTGTGACCTTGACCTTTGAGGTAGGAACGTGATTATTGGACACGACACATCGTCGTTATGTTGTAGTATGCAAAGTTATTCTAAAATCCTTCCATGTGTGACAAACTTACAATTCGGACACAAATGTGTTTACCTATAAATTCTTATTGTGATAAAGTAGTGAAACTTCAAAATGTGAGTGTGACCTTGACCTTTGAGGTAGGGACGTGATTATTAGACGCGACACATCGTCTTGATGTGGAAAACATTTATGCCAAGTTATTCTAAAATCCTTCCATGCATGACAAAGTTAGAGCCCGGACACAATTGTGTGTACCTATTAATTCTCATTGTGATAATGTGAAACTTCAAAATGTTAGTGTGACATTGACCTTTAAGGTAGAGACGTAATTCTTAGACGCGACACATTGGCTTGATGTGGTAGACCTTTATGCCTAACTATTTTAAAATCTTTCGATGCATGACAAAGTTACAGTCCGGACACGAATATGTGTACCTATTTACTCTAATTGCGATATTGTAAAACTTCAAAATGATAGTGTGACCTTGACCTTTGAGGTAGGGACGTGGTTCTTAGACTTAAAACATCGTCTTGATGTGGTAGACATTTGAGCCATGTTATTTTAAAATCCCTCAATGTATGACAAAGTTACAGTCCGGACACGAATGAAGTGGGGACGCACAGACAGACTGATGGACGGACGAGCAGTACGATTATAATATGCCTCCCTTCGGGATAGTTCTTGCCATTACTAAATAAAATGTAAATGGTAGTTCTGAAATAAAATGTACAGGATAATTCTTTAACTTTCTAGTTAAATTGCTCAGATATTTATGTTCTTTTTAACAATACTTCCTCCAACAAAACATTTTACACTGCATTCAGATCTCATTACATTTTCTAGTAAACAGTTTATTTTACGTAAGAACTTACTGAGTTTATTTTACTCAATTTAGACAAGATCTGAGTTATAAATTTTGTCCAAAATAACGGGAGAAATATCAGTATTTATCAGGTATTTGAAGTTTATGATGTTCAATTAGAGTCTTATATATTATATCATCGGTGTGTTCAAATGCTGTATTTTTTATAAGTTTCATATATTTTTGCATTTTGATAAAGTTTTTATAAAAATAATTTCCTACTGTTTGGTAGATGTAAGTAGTAAAATGTTCCTTTTTCAAGATTTAAATCCCTACAATATATATTTTGTCATTGTTATGCAAGCTATGCAAACATTTCTATATATATATGTATGACTTAAGAACTAGCATAATGCAAGTTAACCAGTTTTGTGTCCCTTGTTGATTTTCGTCTACTGTAAGTATCTTCCCCTTGCCTCTAGTTTTGTTTTATTTTAAGTTTGCCCCCCCCCCTCTCCCCGACTTTCTAGTCCATTTCCCCAACACCCCTTTACGTTTGTAGGCCTATTGATTAAGCGACTCTTTAATTTCATTGTAGGTTTCTTATTTATTATTATATTAAGCAACCCGTCCGAGCTTTGCCGTCTACCCTGTCCTGTTTTGGTTTAGGTCCTGTTGGGTTCCTTGCCGGTGGTCCTGTGTTGCTTTATCGTGAGGGGTTGCGTTCATTGAATGCTGCCCTTCCCTGTTGTATCGTGAGGGGTTGCGTATATTGAATGCTACTCATCCCTGTTGTATCGTGAGGGGTTGCATTTATTGAACGTTGCCCTTCCTTGTTGATCTTGCTTATCATATTTTCTTTACTTCGGCCGAGTACCGGTATCTTTTTTTAAAAGATTCTTTTTGTTATCACTCCTGTGATACGAATATGCACGACGGTACCATTTGTTAGTTAATTTAATAGTTTAGAATTACGAACGGCATTTCGGTTAATGATTAAAATGACTTACCTTGAACACTTTGTAAGCAACTAAATGGCAATCATTCCATGAAATTGAACTCTGAAAATAAACAGTTTTTAACTTAACAGGCAATAATCATAAAAAGTTTGTTTCAAATGCCAATCGTAGAACATATTAAGAGATAAATTATGCATCTTAAAACATATATAAAAACGTTAACTCTCAATGCAATATCATCGAATTTGAACAAAAGTACTTCTTTTAATTTCATCAAGAATAAAAGAAAGATTTAGAGAAATATCCTTCATGATAATTTGATTTTAAAGTAGTCTGTTAACTTAAGTGGTGACTTTTGTCATGTTAATGGGATGCCTTTCGAGTTAAGTGAAAACAATAGTAACTAGATATCGATGGAAGAGATTCATACCCTACACTTGTGGTTAGTTAAAAGCTCGAATGGACAAGACTTAGAAATGACTATTTTTACAAACGCTGTTCTATGAAGCACTATGACTATGAACGGAATTTGATATACCGGTGGTATCAACTTTTGTTTGTCTATGAAAGTTAACACACATACTTTTGATCAAATACAGCGTTTCCATTGGATGACAAACAAAATTGGACAATATTGCTACTGCTGTGCTTCTGCAACTGATGCGCTACTGCTATGATTCTGCTACTGTCAACTTCACGTTTTATAATTTTGCTACTGCTACTACTGTTCTACTGCTACTGCTGTGCTACTGCTGCGCTACTGCTACTGATGTGCTACTGCTACTGCTGTGCTAATGCTACTGCTAATTTCACGTTTTATAATTTTGCTCAACTTCATGTTTCATAATTTTGCTACTGCTATTTTTGTGCTACTGGTACTGCTGTGGTACTGCTGCGCTACTGTTACTGCTCTCCTACTGCTCTGCTCTGCTACTACTAACACTGCGAAAAAGACATGGATATACGGAAGTGTACGGAATTCCGTATATCATTAATATACTTGTAATAATACGGGAAACTTGAAATACGGAGATGTACGGGACCGTATATTATATCAGTCCGTATATAATGTATAAGAAACTCCGTACACTCGTGATATACGGGATTTTGAAGTACGAAGTCCGTATTTTACTAATATACGGAATTTTTATGACAAGTCCGTATTTTACTAAAATACGAAATTCCGTATTCTTGCAAATACGGATTCTGTATATAGAAATAACTTCACGTTTCATAATTTGCTACTGCTATGCTGTTTCACTGCTACTGCCTATTTCACGTTTTATAATTTTGCTACTGCTACTGCTGTTCTACTGCTATTACTGCGCAACTGCTACTGATGTGCTACTGTTACTGCTGTGTTACTGCTACTGCCTATTTCACGTTTTATAATGTTGCTACTGCTACTGCTGTTCTACTGCTACTGCCAATTTCACGTTTTACAATTTTGCTACTGCTACTGCTGTGCCACTGCTACTGCCAATTACACGATTTATTTATTTGCTACTGCTGTGCTACTGCTACTGCTATTTCACGTTTCCTACTGCTGCTACTGCTACTGCCTACTTCATAATTTTGCTACTGCTACTGCTGTTTCACTGCTACTGCCTATTTCACGTTTTATAATTTTGCTACTGCTACTGCTGTTCTACTGCTACTACTGCGCCACTGCTACTGATGTGCTACTGTTACTGCTGTGTTACTGCTACTGCCTATTTCACGTTTTATGATGTTGCTACTGCTACTGCTGTTCTACTGCTACTGCCAATTACACGATTTATTTTTTTGCTACTGCTACTGCTGTGCTACTGCTACTGCTATTTCATGTTTCCTACTGCTGCTACTGCTACTGCCTACTTTCCATGCATAGATGTAGCTTGATGTTATGGCCACGTAATAATTATGTTTTAGATGATTCATTAGAAGACAAACGGACTATGAATTAGCAATGAATATCAGTCAGTTTGTTAAATAGACCGTCGTGAAGTTTCGGTTTCTTTTAATAGCATGTTGTGGTGAAACCTTCAAGAAATGACACATAGTAAGGTCTCATAATGGTTACATACATGCGAGTAGTTTCCGTACAAACGCAGTACCCGTATTTTCCGTTTAAATGCTTGATTCTTACTTGCATTCATTAAAAATTTATATCAAACCTTCAAGATGTGTAAACGAGACAAATTCGAAGTGTCAGTTCGGCAGTAGGTACAAAAAAGTTTATTTTAAATCACTGTCACGTGTGACATTGTAAACGTTGGGGATTCCATATGAGGCCTGAAAAAAGGCGTGTCTCTTTTCAATAATATAACCTGCAATACGATCATAAGGAAGTGACAGAAATAGCCATGATAGGCATGATAATAGTGAACAAGACAACAGGTTCAACGGACAATTACATAACGATAAACGAAAGGGGTAGCCGTTACAATTAGTGAACCAGATAACAAAAATAGGCATTCAGATAAAATGCGAAAGGAAGAACTTAAACAGACAATTAATGTCAAAGGCTGGAGACAAGCACGTGGACATGATAGACAACACCAGGAAGCACATGTTCATTCTGGAACATTAGAGGTTAGAACATAAATGAAACAGATACAAATGTAGTTATAAATGAAAGGAAATACAAATTGTATGTCCTTTTTTTTGCAGATTTCATTGGAGTTAAGACTCATTTTAAAACCGAAAAAAATATATATATATTGATAACAAGTGGTTTGGTCTGATTACAAAAAAGAGATCATAAGAAATCCAAAATCGGCTCAGGCGGTTTAAGGTTTCTTATAAACTACAGATTAAGGTTTCTTATAGTCTTCAGACTTATATTGTGAAATTCTAAGGCATTTTAATGGCTGAAGTTAGAATGTAAAAATGATGCTATGGTGTTCGTTATTTACCTTCCCATTAATATACAAAACAGATTGATGTTCATGATTCTTATGAAAATATATGTGTCAAGTACATACTTATCAGTCCAATATGTCTCTCATGTATGTTTATTTGCTGTCAACTTATCCGAAATTAAAAACATGTACACAGTTTTTCAACCCCATGTATTATTTTAAGACATAGGCCTCTTCTTCTTTACTGTAGATAACTCTTTCATTTAGATATAATAGGTCAGAGAGTGTTGTGAATATTTCAGCTGAGAGCATAATTTAATTGTCAGGAATAATGTTTTCATTCTGTTTTAAGTATATCTTATGCGTGCTACGGTCTTAAAGTTCAGTTGAGCTAAAACGGATTATAGTAGAAAAGAAAAAAAATAAATGTTTGTAATATGAAGTGGGTGATGGGCCTTGGTGTTGTCAATGTGCAACGAACTATTGAGCATTCTCCTGAAATTTTCAAACATTAAAGTTTTAATGCCTGAAGTTGTTACATAGGCATTGAAGAAAGTAAATCAGATGGGACAGGACAAAATGATTAATATATAACATTTTTCTGTTCAAGAGGGATAATGTAAGGTGCAAATCTCTTACGAGCTAATAAAAAGTGGAAATGAGAAGTGAAATGATGGGTGTGATTTTGTTTCTTTTTTAAGATTTATTTTTCCTATTAACCTAACTTTTATTAATGTTTTTTATGCTCCCCGAAAAATTTCGGGGGAGCATATAGTCGGCGCCTTGTCCGTCTGTTCGTCCGTCCGTCTGTCCGTCCGGTTTCTTGTCCGGAGCATAACTTGAAAACCCTTGGAGATAATTTGTTTAAACTTCATGCAGTGGTAGAGGGCATTGAGGGGGAGTGCAGTGTCAAAGAACCATAACTCTATTTTGCCCAGTTTTTGAATTATCTCCCCTTATAGAAAAATCTTGTCCGGGCCATAACTCTAAAACTATAAGAGATATCAACATGAAACTTTGTAGGTGCATAGATCTCAATGGGTAGATGTGCAGTGCATGAGACCAATAACTCTTTTTTTCCCTAATTTTGGAGTTATTGCCCTTTGTTAATTTCAACACTTTGAACTTTGTCCGGAACATAACTCTAAAACTATAAGAGATATCAAGATGAAACATTGTAGGTAGATAGATCTCATTGAGTAGAAGTGCAGTGCAAAAGAACCATAACTCTCTTAAGCCTCATTTTTGAATTATCTCCCCTTATAGAAAAATCTTGTCCGGGGCATGACTCTAAAACTATAAGAGATATCAACATGAAACTTTGTAGGTGAATAGATCTCAATAGGTAGATGTGCAGTGCATAAGACCAATAACTCTTTTTTTCCCTAATTTTTGAGTTATTGCCCTTTGTTAATTTCAACACTTTGAAATTTGTCCGGAACATAACTCTAAAACTATAAGAGATATCAAGATGAAACATTGTAGGTAGATAGATCTCGTTGAGTAAAAGTGCAATGCAAAAGAACCATAACTCTGTTAAGCCTCATTTTTGAATTATCTCCCCTTATAGAAATATCTTGTCTGGGGCATAACTCTAAAACTATAAAAGATATCAACATGAAACTTTGTAGGTGAATAGATCTCAATGGGTAGATGTACAGTGCATAAAAACAATTATTATTATAATTCTTTTTGTCCTAATTTTGGAGTTATTGCCTTTTGTTAATTTTAACACTGAACTTTGTCTGGAACATAACTCTAAAATTATAAGAGATATCAAGATGAAACATTGTAGGTAGATAGATCTCATTGAGTAGAAGTGCAGTGTAAAAAAAACCCATAACTCTGTTAAGCCTCATTTTTGAATTATCTTGTACTGGACATAGCTGTAAAACTATAAGAGATATCAACATGAAACTTTGTAGGTAGACGTATCTCAATGGGTAGATGTGCAGTGCACGAGAATCATAACTCTGCCTTGCCTAATGCTGGAGTTATTGCCATTTGTTTATTTTTACTTTTTGAATGTGTCCGGAACGTAACTCGAAAACCATAAGAGATATCAACAAGAAACTTTGTAAGTTGATAGATAACAGTAATTAGAAGTGCAGTGGAAAGAACAGTAACTCTGCCTTTCCTAATTTTGGAATTATTACACTTTGAACTTTTTCCAGGGACATAACTCTGAAACTACAAGAGGTGTACTTTCCTGTGTCCAAACCCTATTCTGGGAGCATCACCCGGCTCAAACCGGGCTAT